ATACATTTTTATTTTTTTAAGAAAATTAACGATCGTTTCGCTAGATAAGACCCTATTCCTCAGCTGGGAACGTGCAGAGCCGTTTGAAACACTTCATAGCCCTTTGAAACTGCATTGATTTGGACTTCAAAATGTTGGCTGCAATTGAAGTCCATTGTGTGAGAAAAATCCTGAAATGTTTTCCTCAAAAAACTTAATTTCTTTTCCACTGAAGATAGAAAGACATGAACATCTTGGATGGCATTGGGGTGAGTACATTATCAAGAAATTTTCATTTTGAGGTGAACTAATCCTTTAAGTGACGTTTTTAAAAAAAGTATAAATGCAGAAAGTTTTCTTTAATGGGTAGGTTTAGGGATATGGTTAGTGTAAGTGGATAGAATATACAGTTTGTTCTGTATAAAAATCATTATGTCTATGGAAAGTCCCCATAAAACATGGAAACCCAACGTGTGTGTGTGTGTGTGTGTGTGTGTGTGTGTGTGTGTGTGTGTGTGTGTGTGTGCCTCAACTCAGACACATTTAAACTAGAAACTACTACAGTATACACTCATTAGTGTGTGTTTATATAGTGTGCACTTGGACAACTGCCTCTCCACATGACAGCCCTACGAGGCCAAAAGAAACTTATGAGCACCTGCTCGTTTTTGTTAATTAATTTTTTTTATTTGGTAGAGTGTCAAAATGCAAGTTGTGGCATCACAGATTACAGTTTATTTGGCAGCTCTTAACTAGAAAGCACAGAGTGGAATTATATAAGTCGACTGGCAGTAGTTCAAAAGAATTCAAAATCTAATATGCAAGTAGCAGGAATAGTAAACTCAATAATCAATAACTATAGACTAGCAATGAAATATCCTTGTTAACTTAGAAGGCATTATAGCCGGTGGTTTTCAAAACAGCCTGACATTTCCTGACCATAAGGCTCATGAGTCATTAAAGGTCATCTGACTAGACATGTAAAACATGAAATGATGAAATAAATTACATTTTAAGATATAGTCAAAAAGAAAAGTTATTTTAAATTGTAATAATATTCCACAATATTTCCATCAAATAAATGTATAAAATGCAATCATAGAGATTTAATTTAAAATTGAACCAACCTAAAGCAAATAATAGAAAATTATTGAAGAGGTAGGCCTATAATTTTTCGTTCTTCATTATGAAGAAAAAGCTTAAAGCTGCAGTCCGGCGTTTTTCCTCTTTGTCGCCATCTCTGTTTGAAATCTTCAATTGCATTCATTCGCGGAATTATCAACTTTACGTGAGTTGTACTTCAACACCCTCGACACGGCACAGCGCGGATGAACACAATGTTTGAGGAGAGTGTGCAGCTGTCAGTCACCGCACCGGTGTCGATACTGGCATTCAGAATCATAGATTATTATTTTTGGAAGTATGACCAACATAAGAATTTTCACCGGAAAATGTCATCTGAACAAGTAAGAAACATCCACTTTTGTTCTGGTTCTGACATTGCAGTAAATCGCGCTGATTAAATCTAAAAATCGCTTATCATATCACGCAAAACCGTGCAAATTATACTTTGTTCTCAAATTGTTAATGTTAACAACGTCAGCATTGCGTGACTACATGTAATGTCCTTCCGATATGTATCCTTGTTTTCGCATGGGTCCGGTTGCAGTCTCTTTTTTTTCTGTAAGTTAGCCACTCCGAAGTCCGAACGAAGTCTTTTGCATTTTACAGCGGGTGAATCTGTTGTCACTGGTGATTGTCGTTTGAACCTTTCTGGATCCGCCATCAAATTGATAAGTTTAATTATATCAAGTGCTGTGAGAAAAGGCTATAAATCTCCACCTCCAGCATCCTCACACGCAATATAGCCTATACTAGCCGAGACTCCTTCTTTATGTGTACAGATGTGACGTAATGACGCAAAGACATGCTCGAATCTCCCGTGGATATCCACCAGTACCACTGGAATTAAAAACATTATTACAAGCTTACCGCTTTGAATCGAGCTAAGGCAAGCAGAGAGTTTTGAACACTGGCTGGTTATATATTTTCTCAAATATGTATTTTGGATTATTTTTAACCCCAAAAAAGCTACGGACTGCAGCTTTAATTAATAGCAAAAATCCAATTGAATTGTAATACAAATTTTTTTATCTAAAAACATGCTCATCATAGAAGACAATGTTTGTGTAAATTTGTTAATTTTGAATAAATTAATAGATAGGACAAAATAAGCATCACTTTAAGCTCCCAACCCCCCCATATTCAAAGCACACAAATCCATGAATAAATGCCACTTTATCTCAGCTGCAGCCAATGCAAACCGACAAGCCCCTTACCTAACGCAATAGCTGCAATGTTTTAGAACTAATTCAACTCACTGCCTTCTGCACATAAATTGTACATTTGTGTCTCACTCATGCAGGCGGAGCTATCAACATATGCCTCTTCAGTAGTATGCATGTTTTAAAAATGTGGTGGGAGATGGCAGTTTGGAATGCAAACTGGGTCCCTGTTGCAGCTCGACATCAAACATCCACACCACGTCATGGGCGGAGTGAGAGGGAATAACCCAGATACTGAGCGAGTTCAGCTTAAGATCTGCTTGGAGCCTCTCCACATAAAGTGGAGATGGAGCCCCATAAGACGAGCTTGATGGTACTGGGTGAACCACAGTGCATACGAACAGGTGTTGACTGCTGTAGCGGAAAGCTGATCCACATAAGTACTAGTCTGGGACATCTCACTGAGACTGAGACATTCCAGTTCAATGAGTTAAACAGGAGACTCAATGATGGGGAACATTTTGGTAAGGTTTAGTTTTGGTCTTAAGGCTACACCACAGGAAACTAAGGAAGTTTCAGCTGTTTTGCTGTTCTAAAGAGCAGAATCTGTAGAATCTTAATGATTAATTTCTATTGATATTTTTTAAGTAAAAATCATTTCAAAACATTTCAAAAATACATTTTTGTACTTCATACTTAATGGTTACACCTCATGACATTTTTATAAGAAACTTTTCTTTGAAAATGGTAGGCCTATAAAAGTTTTTTAGAAACATATGAAGCCACAATAAATACAAAGAGTACATTTCTAAAAACTGGCACATCGGGTTTTAACTAGATTTTTATTTTCTTTATTGCAGACAACATTATACTGTGTGTCATTAAAACAAACAACCTGCCAACTTTGCACCATGAGGTGCCCTCTGGTGCTGGGATAGAGAACAACTGGAGCATAACATGGTTGTTTAGAGTGTGTGCTGGCGTACAGTGTATATAGGTGAATATTATAATTACCACCAGTGTTTCTTCCTTCATTACAGACAGCACTTCCTATTACTAAACCAAAGCATATCTTTTGTTAAATGAGAGCAGTTTCCATACATATTTATTTTGGCCATAACAGCACCTAATTTTCTTACACAAATCACCACGTCAGAGAACGTCAAAATGAACATGTTAAGGGCATTAAGAACAGCTAAAATGATTTATTGCATATCTGACTTTTTAAGAGCACATCACTGCAACATATGCAAATGATTATTAATCTGGATGGGATGCAAGACAATGGGGCTGTCAGAGCGGCTGAGAAACTCGAGCATGTCATTCTGCAGTCTGTGTGCATGCCTGCATGTGTCTAAGAGGGTGTGTGTGTATCCTCCTCATGCTTTGAGTTAGAGTGAACATGGCACTCTGATTTAAGCTGGAGCAAATGCACCCTTCACAACAGCTGCTCTGAAATTACCCATCAAAACCATCACCACTGAGCCCAGCTTCTTTCCAATCAGTCCTCACTGTCTGTCCATCCTGTGGGGTGGGCCAAAGTGGCACACACACACACACACACACACACACACACACACACTTCCCTTTCTCAAGGTACATCAGGTACAAGTCTCAATTTGCGTATTTATGCCGGCCTTTGATGTGTACAAGTCTTCATAAGCATACATAATTTTCTTGATAGGAAAAAGTCTGGACCGGTTGCAAAGTTTAGGCACCCAGTATAGCCCAAATTAAGCATGTGAATGGAGCTGGAATAATGCTGGCTGAGAGGGAAATGGCAGCAGGTGAAACTCTGCTCTCTTGTTTCTATCTGCTCCATTATTGCTTTAAGCACTAAACATGTCCTGATATATCCTTAATTTACCTAATTATATAACTGCTAATTAGCTGCATGCTCTATTTGAAGCAACAAACGGAAATTTTAAAGTCATTCAAACTCTATACAACTATAAAATCACATGTGGAAGACTTCCCGCAAAGAATTCCACATGATCTGGATTCACCTGCAGTTCGGGATAAAGTAGGCCTACAACTTCAAATATGACAGACATCTCAGGAAACAGTTTTATCTGTTTTACGATGAATTAGGCCATCAATGGATTTCAGTTGCTGCAGCTTGTAAACACCCACAGGAGGGTTAACCTAGCACCAGAATAGTGCTTGAGGTCCGAAGTTTAACATTTTTACAGCTCAATTGTCTGAGCCCAACAATGCAAGACTTGCCATCAGTCTGTTAGGCACTGTTGGTCAAAGCACAAATAAAGCCACCAATGCCTCATAGACTCACAAGCCTGACATTTGAGATATGCAGTGATGCTTACACATTACATACATAAAATCCCCCATCCCTGCAACATAAAACAAAATGCTTTTTTTATTTTAATTTTGCATTTAATGCAGTTATTTAAAAAATTTAATCTAATGCAGTTTACAAGTGAAGGTCATGTTAATGGCATGATTTTCAGATCATCAAATCCTCTCTTTACCCGTGCAATAATATTTATGTTTCATTCAAAGGTGTTCCCACTTATATGGCCAACAATAAAGTATAGCCTATGTCCAGATTTTGCTTTCGCGTGCGTTTTATAAACATACTTTTTGATTAGGTGACCTGGAAACTAAGACACAAAACCAATCCAAACGAACAGAACATGCTAAATGAGTTGCTAATAGCGCATTGTGGTGATATCGTTAATAAACAAAAACGACAATTTGAGCAGTAGGCTATATTACCGGTGATTCGCCTCCGGTGCTTTTGCATAGCGGACCACGGAAAACTCCTTTGATGCTCCGGTAGTGTCCATTGCTTAGGTGCGTGGAGCTGATCACAAGGTAGTAGCACGCCATCCGGTCCAGCGTCACCCATGAGCGGGCTCCAGGGACGGCCAGGCGAGCAAGTTACTTTGGAGAAGATCTCGCAGGGGTTACACCGAGTGGAAGTAGGCAGAGGACGGTCTGTGAGCGCCGGTCCGATCGCTTCAGTCAGTACAGGACGTCGTTACGAGGACACGCCGATAAAAATACGAATCTGCAAATCGGAAACACTGTCCCACACTTCTGTCACATCCTCTGTCTGTTTTCCTCTTCAAGAAGAGACAGGCACCTGCTCTCCAGCCCAGACGGATGTTACTGGATTTTGCTCTTTGGATTTTGGATGTTACTGTGATTTTTCCACAGACTCAAACGTTTAGCATTGTTTAGGCTATAGCCAATACAAGAAACACTTCAACTGAGGTCATGTCCTCTCAAACACCCTCCAAAAAGTCACGTCTGTAGAGTGATGTAAAAAATAATCATTCTAGTGTAACGTGGTACTTTTAAATCTGAGTAATGCTTCGCGTGATTTCAATTGACTGCGCGAGTGTCTTCAATTGACCGGTCAACTCTCTCACGGATTTGCTCTGCTGGATGTCCGATCGCAAATGCTGCTTCCCTGCGCCGAAACGGACGCGCTCCTAGCTGAGTCCAACTGCGTAAAGCAGAGGTTCCCTCTGTTTCTCTCTATCTCGCGCGCGGTCTCTCTCTCTCTCTCTCTCTCTCTCTCTCTCTCTCTCTCTCTCTCTCTCTCTCTCTCTCTCTCTCTCTCTCTCTCTCTCTCTCTCTCTCTCTCTCTCTCTCTCTGCTAAGGAGGGATTTGAGGGAGAGTTAAAGCTTTCAACTGTACGTGGGCAGTTTTTGGCGCTGCCATGCAATCAGTCCTTTAAGTAAACACCTTCATGTGCATGTAAACCCTTTACTACCCATCCATCCATCCACTCATCTGCCCATCCATCCATCTATCTATCTATCTATCTATCTATCTATCTATCTATCTATCTATCTATCTATCTATCTATCTATCTATCTATAACGTACAGATACTGTACACTGATTTGTCTTTAACTATGTACTAACATTTAAATAAATCATTTGATACAACGCACTTATTGTGTACACACATGTCTGTACATTGTACTTATAACAAAATGGCTGCATGTAATTACAGCTGTAATTAAATCTATAATTAATTACACTGTTGACCCTTCACTTACACCTTAACCCACCTACCCATACTAAACCTGTCCCTGACCTTATCCTTATCCCACCCTAATAACGGCACATTTGTTTTGCAATATAATATGATTGAGTACAGATTTTTAAATGTTTATTGCTGAAATCTGTATCTAAAAATCTCAGTCTGATACACAAGAGCATTCAACCAGACAAAACTGACATTCTTGTATAGTGTCAACTAAAAAGTAGAAAACACATGAAAATTTGTATATATTTCCATGGTGAAAAAACAAACAAACAATCTAAACATTTTGACCAGTGTGGCTCACACAATGAAAATTTTTATTTTTATTTTGGTGGCATTGGGCAATTTACTGACACATTAACTAGGTTTTGAAGCATAAATTGAATGTTTTGGGTGAGTAAATACATTTTGCAGACATACAATAGAGTTCTGAAGTTCAAACAAACAGTTGTGACAATTGAACTTACAGTTTAGAGAATGTTCCCTTTCGAAGGGAACTCAACAATACGTCATCGACGTTATGGGGAACGCCTCAGGCGTGACAGGTGTCTGAAATCACTATCAAATCACGTCAATCACATTGACCGGCGACAGCCCGTGAATCATTAGTGTGAATGATTAACGTGCGACCTGGAAGTATATAAGGGCGCCTTGCAAACATGACAAATCATCTTTTCGTCTTCAGGGACTGTTTTGTCTGTAACTGCTTTGAAAATCAGGTAATTATGAAATGCTTTCAGAAGTGTGCAGACCCGTGCTCAAGATATTTGAAGCCGGGTGACACACGCGAACTGTGCATTTTTTTGTCTGGAAAGGAAGACGCGCACAGGCAGTTCTCGAGGGAACTGCCTGTACAAATTGTGATCGCGCCTGTTCCTCTTCTCGAGAGAAGAGGGTTCAGCGTTTGGATGTCACAGATGAAGCTCGCCGATCGCCTTGAGAGGGGTGTAATCCTCTCAGACGATGCGGCGGCTGACGAGAAGCTGCAATTGGATGAAGTTTTTCAAAAAAAAAAAAAAAAAAGGGAAAACTTAGTCCGGCAGCAATCGCTCTCCCGGACAAACAGGAGATGGCTGATGAGGGTGGTAATAATACAACATTTTCCTGTATCTTCTCAGCCACCCTGCCCTGTGTATGCTGAGCTGGTTGGTATTATAGAACGCGCCGCGGGCAGGCTGCAGCTCCCGTGGCTGCTCGTTGGGGGAGAAATCGCTCGCGATGAGAGCGTTTTTTCCCCGGTCATAGAACCACCAGCTCAGGTGAGCCTTTCATTTCTTCCCGATCTCATACTGAGATCGAGAGGACATGGAAGAACCCATACTCTGCCTGTATCCACAGGAGGATAGGAGAGCGTGGGTAGGCGTCGATGGGAAAACAATCGACACTGAGAGCTCAAACCCTGCCAGTTGAATGGCAGAGAATACACGTCAGCGGGTCAGGCCGGTGCTAGCCTGCACATCATGGCGGTGTTGCAGGTACACCAGGCCGATCTGCTGGGGGATCTGCTGGGGGTGGGGCCCCTGAGGCGGTTACTGAGCTGCGCCGCAAATGAAAAAAGGTATGTATGTATATATATATATAGCTCTCCCGGATGGCGACGATACTGGCCACGGAGAGACATTTGTGGTTGAACCTGGCCGACATCGGGAAGAAAGAGAAAGGCTTCCTCCTCGATTCGCTGGTTTCGCCCTCTGAGCTTTTTGGCACCTCCTTGTTGGCGGTGGTTGGAAAGTTCAGAGAGGCGAAGGCGCGCTCAGCTGTATCCAGGACATACATACCGCTGAGATCCGTGTCCACGCCCAGACAGATGGGAGGGCCTGGCCTATCATGGTCCGAGGACCTTAGATGAGGCCAGAGAGCCAGTGTCACCTCTCGTGGCCTCCTCCGTGGAGTAGTAGGTCGCAGAGGAGGCGCGACTCCCGCAAGAAGAGGGATCTGAGGGAGGTGATCCGGCACAAACGCACGTTGCGTCGGTCATGGATCATCTTCCCTGAGGGCGTGATTATATCTTAGCCCTTTCCTCTCTTCCCCGACTCCCCAGGCGCTTCTTACATCAGGCCTGAGGCTGGGCTCATGGTTAGAACAATGTTCTGATGGCCCGCCTCGGCTTGGTTAGTGAGAGTGCCTCTTTCAGGTATGTAAAGGTGGTAGACCCCATGTTCATGAAGAACTGTCTGGTGAGTCTTCACTTCGCACGCCGCAGGTGAGCTGCTGGTCTTTCAAAGAGTATTTTTTGTGATTAAAAAAATAATATGTTTCTCTTTACAGACCTCGTTCCCTGTATAGAGTTATGGGGCCATGTCAAGGTAATAAGGTAAGAGAACTTTTTTGGATTATCAGGGCCCTGAAGTTCCCCGTTAGGTGGCCAGAACGATAACTATGTTATCCTTCGGGCTATTAGCCACCTCAGGGTAGAGTAGTTGGTCTCTCTCTGATAGAATGTTTTACTTCGAGTGTTGACTGACGCTAGAGCTTCAGATAGTTCTACCAGAAAGACTCGGGAGAATAAATACTGTACCAATAAATACATTTATTGATAACCCAGCAAGCAATAAAGTTCTTTGGCGTAGGCCCCGTCCATAGCTCGCAATCCGGGGGTCCGGACTCTGCATTTCCTGCCTGAAGACGAAGGCAGGGGCGCAGCCGACCCCCTGTGAGGTATAGGAAGGGACCATCCTGGTGGTGGTGGGGAGGATGGAGGGGAAGGGACAATCCTGGTGGTGGTGGGGAGGATGGAGGTGAATGAAAGCGTCAGCATCTGCGAACTCAAACATGTGTAAGTACTGGTCTTTTATACCGCAAGTATTAGACACGATTGGATAGATGAGAAGGTTATAAGTGACGTAGCAATTGAGTCTTCCTGGCAGAACTTAACGCTAAAGCTTCCATATCTTATGTCCGGCCCATGGGACCGTTTTGACTTTTCTGAGTATTTCGCCCCTTGAGCTCTGTTGAGTTTTCATTAGGTTGAGTGTCACTTAAGATGGTTATCAGTAGTAGGCCTCACCAGGCCTCCCTGGAGACAAGCCGAAGGACAGACAACTGGACAGCTAGCCTGACTTTCTATTGGGTAGCAGAAAAAGCTCCCAGATATTATGGCTGTCAGTAGTAGGCCTCACCAGGCCTCCCTGAGGGTGAGTTCCCCACGTACTATCGTTATCGGGTAGTAGGCCTCTCTAGGCCTCCCTGTAGGTGACCACATACTGTTGCTATCAGGTAGTAGGCCTCACCAGGCCTCCTTGTGAGTGGTTCCCTAGCGGTGCTGGGTTCAGGAAGCTAGTGGCCTCTTGCTATCATTTCAGCTGGCCTTATCAGGCAGCTGCTGAAGGCGAGCTTGCGCCCTGGCTCGACTAAAGTGTTCATTCTCTGCTACTGGTTCCCTCTCGGAACCTCTTTCCTGCCTACAGCCTGGTTTTGCCTACCAGGGGGACCATATGCTCCCCTCATTGAGGGTCACTGTGAGCACGCGGACTCCTGAGTCTGGTCAGACGGTCGTAGGCCTCTCGTGAGGCCTCCCAGTTAGATCAGCCCTGAGGCCTTCACAGGCCTCCTCAGTGCCTCACACAGACACTGGGTTGATCCGTGGATCGAGTAGAGAAACTCCCCTCGCTAGCAAGGGTTGGAAAGCACTATGTTGAGTCATACTCTCCGGGATATCCCGTCTCTGAGATCCGGGCCGAGTGGTTCACTGCCAGCTTCGCAGTCCCTCGGGTTGGATGCCTTACCTAAGGCAAGTGTCCAGAGGCTCTGTCTTCGGACAGACAGGAAGTGGCCAGACTAAGTGTCTATGTATCTGATGCCGGGTCAGGCCGTCCTGGTGGCATTTCGGAGTGAGTACATTCCCCTGAATAGTGATTGGCTGGGGTTCCTTCGGGTTCCCTAGCCACATTCCCTAGAAGGGACCCCTTCTAATTGAAGTTGTGGTCCTAGGCCTTTGAGCAGGCCCAGGTAGGCCTTTCATTTAACCATGTTTATGGAGGTTTTCCTGTGAGGCTTATAGCTTGGGCTATGACCGTAGGAAATGATGTCACTGACAGCCAGTGTGACCTGAGGGTGAGTTGTTCTAGCATTTCATTTGAATTTGCTGGTTCGGACAGTTGTCACTGCCTGAGGGCAATA